ATGCCTTCACATTCTGGGGCAACAAGCTGGAGGTGCTGAGACTTCAGGACACCACCTCAACCCAGGCACATTGTCCCTTCTGGATAAATCATTCTCATGCAGTGGAAAAGTTTCTCCAAGACAACACCCAAGTATTGCCTAACTTCTAAAACTGGTAGTTTCTACATCTAGATCTTCCCATTGACATGGTTGGAGCCCAAGAGAACTCACTCTGAGTAACTGTCATTCAGGAAAACTCTTAACTAAGACATTTTTTTCTTTTAATCTCACAAAACAAAGCAGAAGGAGAAGAACAAAAAAGGTTCTGAAATATCACCTTTCTAGCTACCTACTTTTATGAATTAGGGCAGGGAGCCACTTGCCCAAGTCAAAGCAGTTAGTTAAGGGCAGATTCAGAGCCCGGAGATAACTCTTTCCATGTCCCAATTCATTACTTTCTGCAACATGACTAAGTCACCTCTCCTGCCTTATGTATCCGAATAGAAAGGTAGCTTTTGGCTCTAATTCTTCTCACGCGCTATTAAAAATAAAGTCCAGTCTGCAAGAGCCAAAACTTGCTGGCCATTTCAGAGCTTCAGATGAGATTTTTGCCTCTTCTGGGTGTAAGCAGCAAGAGCTGACCTAATATGGCTAAGCAGATGAAAGCCACTGTGTAGGGACAGGGCCTCTATTGCTTGCTGTCACGACTCAAATTGGATAAGGGGATTTTGGTGGCTCAAAAAGATACCAGATTTCATCCACCAGGTTTTGCTATGGTTTCTCTCCTGCAAGCTTGAATCAATAATCCACCAGTTGATATGCTCTTTGTTGAGGCTTGGCTCTGTGTGTAGCCTGAGCGAGCCACTGTGAGAAACTATAAAAAGAGAATGGACCTCGTGTGCCTTCAGACGGCATACAGTGACCTGTTTATGGAGTGTTGTCTTCTCTTCCAATGACAGCCAGGACCATGCCTGAACCATCTGTGTGCCCATCACCTAGCCAGGACATGTGGATGGTTCTCACTAAACAGGAGCTGAATGAATAAGTAGATGAATTTCACCTATGAGATAAAACAGTAGCAACATGGGACCCTTGAAGACTGCTCTGAACAGAATACTGGTCATAAGAGCTATTGGGAGTCAGACGAAAGAAATGAGCAAAGATGCTTCTTTGGGAGCTTAGGAACTCAACTGGGCCCAGAAAGATGGCTCTAATTTGGTCAGCATTAGAAGCCAAAGTGGCTGTATTCCAGGCAGAGAAAAGTAATGGGAGCAAATGAACGTGAGTGGAAATTTATGGAGTGGTAGAGGAAACTTGACATCTCCATCTGGCTGTCCTAGACAGTTTCCTTCAAATCAAGGTGTGCAAGAATGAGTGCTGCATGTCTCCTCACAGACCGCTCCCTGCCCTGACCCGTAACTCTGCCGTCTAAGCCAGAAACCTAGAAGGCACTTCTCTTCCCGTCCCAACTAACCAGTCGTTAAGTTGAGATATTTCTGCCTCACAAATCTCTCTCATCCCATTTCCTTCTCCGCATGTGAACACTTGTGGCCCTAGTTCATACTGGCCTCGCCTATCACTTGGGCCATCCTTCTCTGCTGGGTCTCCCTGTCTCCAGGCTGGCCCTGCCTATTTCTCTGTACAGCAGTTGCTTTATTGAGACATTTTCACTTTCCAAAAATGTTATAAAAATGACTCTACCATAAGAGATAGTGCATTGTAGAAATATATGCGTATGTATACATTATTTATGGATATATATGAATATATGTGCTGTACATGTATACATATTATACATAATTATAATATAATTATACAGGCAGTCAAGGGAAAGGGAAAATAAAGATAGAATAAGACAAGGATAGGTAAAAGTTTAGGGCACAAATGTATGGTATGTAGTCTTACATGGTAGCTGGTATATGAAGTACTAATATACATTAAATGGGGTATTTTTCTGCACTTACATGTTTCAGTTGATAAGGGAACTGAGGATAATGTGCATTGAGAATATTTTTAAAATAATCAGTTGACCAAAATTTTATTTTTTGGTCTTTTGCTGTCTAGATGATGATTTTAAAAGATTAAATTCATACCACTGGTGCTATGTTGGTGTGGACCAATATTGCCTGAAAAAGGTTTTATATATAAAAAAAGGCAATATTGGTCTACACACTACAGAATACCGTATAACACATACTAGTTCACACGCTAGAACGTCAGCTCTAGTCTCCTAGTGGCCGATAAAAAGAATAGAATACATTGGCTTACCTGGATTGCACTGTCAAAACATTTTCTTGAAACTCGTGCCCTCTGTTAAGGAGAAGCAAAACATTTTTTTAGCAATAGCTATGAAAAGAATGTTTCTCTTGAGGCCTCTTAAAGGAGACATTGCCTGCTGTAGTGGACAAGACCTCAACAACATCCTTAAAGCAAACATGACAGCAAATTTCATATTAAAAATGCTATCTCTTTTACAAGCTGAGGGCATACCACCAGAAAACAATTTAAAATAAAATTTTAGAGTGGATTTAAGCAATTCAGACCAAATCTGCCTCTCTATGGTGGCCTCTCTTGACCTGGGGCTGGGAGGAGGGGAGATATCTGGGTTATTTGGAGGATTGCATGAATGGCAAATTATTTTTTTTAATAAATATTAGTTTGTATAATTGACTTCCTATTGTCAGTGGGCTTATGCTAAAAGAAAATGAAAAACAATTACTATGTTCCATGTAACCTAAGCTATTTAAAAATATTCATAGAAAAAGGACATGGAAAAACATATCAATATGTTAACAGTGGGACTCTGGATAGTGAGTATATATGCAACTCTTTTCTTGTTATTTATAGTTCTCTGTGCACTTTGAGAGAATTACTTCAGCTTCTGTGTTGAGAATAGAATGGGCTAGGGTTGAGGTGGGGTAGGCGGGTAGGTAAGAAGGGTAGAAGGAGGGAGACCACTCAGAAAGCCTCTTATTGGCTCCATTATCAGGGACTGGGAAATAGATATGAAACAAATTTAAAAACAATGACAACAAAGTACCATATACCTGTAATCTCAGCTATTTAAAAATATAGATAGAAAACAGATTGGAAAAATGTGTTCCAAAAAGTTCTTAACGGTTACCTTTGCATGAAGAATTTATGTGTAATTTTTTTTTATTATTGATTATGCTTTGGTACACTTTCCAGAGTTTCTACAATGCACATGTGTTAGTTTTATCATTTAAAAGAATGAGAAAAGAATTTTCCTCAGAAGACAGTTCCGGGACTATTCTAACATAAGGGAGAACGATTTATCCCAAACTTAACATGTCACTAGTGAAAAAAATAATCCATTTTGTGACTTTGCATTGCGTACTGAATAAAAAACAGGTTCCTCAGCATGTGTTGTGAAGCCCTTTATGACGGTGTCTACTTCTCCAACTCTTCACTTCTCGCTTTCCCCTTTGACAACACCAGACTCCCCATAGCTCTTCAGATACATCATGCTCTTATGCTTCCGGCCTTTATTCACGATGCATTCTTTTTGAAGAGCAACCTCCCCTGCCTTTCTTCCTCTTCCCCTGAAAGCACCCCTCACTTAGCGAATGCCTTCATGATTCCGCTTCCTAGACAATGCCCCTTCTCTAGAAAGCCTTCTTGGACCCTTCCATGTTAGTTTCCAGGCACAGCATGCTCGTAACCCCTATCATGTTGAATTTAAATTCTACTTACCTGTCTACCTTCTCCCAAGTGAACCATTTGTCACTCATCTTTGCTTCTCCTGGCATGAGCATTGTTGAATGGCACAGAGGTTCTCTATAAGCTTTCTCACCCAGTAGGGTATAAGAGGATCAAACCATTCTCCTGGGTTCTTCCCAAGACAGCCCTTGCCGTGGCTTGTGAAAAGATAATGTCTGACTAAGGATCAAAATCTTTTGTGATGAGAATGTGGTGGTTACATAAGGGGTCTCTTCCTGGTCCTACTGCTATCCTCCCATGTCCTTAGATACCGTATGGCAACTCACAAACTCCTGAAGCTGGTCCAACTCCTTCATTTGACTGAGGAGGCACTTAGTGTCCAGAGGATTGCTTTACCCTGGGCCCAGAGCTGATGGGCATCTTTTGTGTCCTTCTAGCCCAGTGCATTTCCCACCACATCAGGGTCACAAATATTCTCTATCATGTATTCTTCTTTGTTTGATTTTTCTTTATTAACAACTCTTTACAAATGTCAGAACCATTTTTAACATAAGTCTTATAAGAGTGGGCTGCAGGCCAGATTTGGCCCAGAGATCATGGTTACTCAGCTCCTCACCAGGCTTGTGTTAGACCAGTGGGTCTCCACTAGGGATGATCTTATCCCCACAGGACACTGTGGCAATATCTGGAGATATTGATATGATTGGAAGGAATGATACTAGCATCTAGTGGGTAGAGGCCAGGGATGCTGCTAAACATCCTACGATGCATAGGACGACTCCCACCATGAAAAAGGTTCTGGTCTAAAATGTCAATAGTGCGTAGGTTGAAAATCCTTGGAATAGAATGACTGCCTCCCTCTGCGCCTCCCCCTGCTCATTCTCTCTCTCAAAAATAAATAAATAAATAAATCTTAAAAAAAAAAAAAACTCCAAGGGAACTTGGTTGGAAGTTCTCATCTTGAATGCTAAACTTTTAAACTTTTGGTAGAGATAAGAGTGGAATCATTCAAAGGTACCTTTCATTCATCTCCTAGAGATTAATTAAGCACCTATCAGTGCCAAGCAAGTTCGTTCAGGGAATGCAGAATTTCAAACAAGTCTTGGTTTGGAAGGGTGATAAATGAATCAACCATCACAAGTCAGGTGATTGGGGTAGGTGGGGGTGCCCTCGGCGTGCGACTGGAACCACAGAATGGGCACCTAACTCGGGCTGAGGGGCAGGCCATGGGAGGAGGGGCTTGGGGACTTCCCAGATGAAAGGAAGGCTGAGCTGGACCCTTTGTTGTTCTTCTCTCTTCTTATTTATTTATTTATTATTTATTTATTTATTTATCCTAGACTTCTCAGTATGGATTTCCTCCTCGAGCAAGCTTGTACTCACAACTTCCCTGGAAGGAGATCCTTATTAAAAGAATGGAAGGAAGAAAGGAGAAAATAAGGAAGGGAAGGAGGAAGGGAGGGTGGGGATGTATGACAGACTCTGTCGGGTCTCTGCTTATGTATCCTTGGCTCGCACCGTGTTCTTGCACACTAGGAAGTCCGCAAGCAGCTGCAAGCCGTCTCCCGCTAAAGGAGTGTGCTGAGTCTGCGCACAGAGCGAAGCTATGTGCCCGGGAGCTGAAAGGCCCTGGAATAACCTCAGCCAATGGCGGAGAGCAATTGACGGATGGATATTCCACTGCCTTGCTCCTAGAAAGCTAGCGCTCTGGGTATACCCTATGCCGTCCCCCAGATGTTCCCAGCAGGATGGAACCCCAGCTGCCTACAGCAGTAACTGCCCATTAATGCACCCTGTTTGGGCGTCCCTCCCTGCTCCCCTGCTGGTTCTCCCCGGCGTCACCTCCCAAATCAACTCCTTCCACTCAGATGCCAGTATCAGAGTTGGCTTTCAGCTGAAGATAAGCATGTGTGGAGTAAGACACCCTTGCCTCATTCCTGGGGTTCGCCTGGGGCATGCTATTCCCTCATCGACATAAAAAGTAGATTTTTGTTCCTCAAGAAAACCCACACAATTGCAAATGGCTTGAATAGGTAGGAGACTCTCCTTAAACACAGGTCACTGATCCGCTCACATACAGGGCGGTTCTTCTGGGGACAGTGGTGCTGGTGTTCGGGTCCGAGTGGCCTGTTCCTACTGCTCGGCTGACTTCCCAGCAGGGGGCAGACCGAGACAGAAGCTGTCCTGGAGATGCGGTGATGTGATGGGGTGTCCCACTGGCCTTCCTCCCCCAGTATCAAAGCCTATAATTCAGAAGTGATTGACGATATTAGGTCAAATCTACATGTTCTGATGTCCCCATTGGCAGATCAAAAACAATTTATGCTTAGTTTTGGAATCCATGTGCATAATGTACGCATCTGTGTCTGGTGGGAGGCATCTTTATGTATCTAATGATGCTTTAATTAAGTGGATATTCAAATTGGCCACCCCCAGGAGATGCAGCTACCCCCCCAGGCGTAGCAGACGATGGGGGAAAAGACAGTCCGCGATTAAAACGTCACATGGGATAAATGCCAAAGCAGAGGTCCCACCCTGGGAGAGTTATGAATTGACTGTACCCCTTCTCATCTCCACTCCCTCAATCATTGCTGATGGGCAGAGGGAAACCATTTTCTGCCATCTGGTTTTTGCAAAAGTCAGGCAGTAAGCTCCCTGGGACAGGGATCTTATCTTGTGCAGTTCAAGAATGAGCACATGGCCATGTACACTCAACAAGCTCTATTAGTAGTGAATGCAATCATAAAAATAGCCCAAACGTGGATATTTGATAATGCCCCCGAAGTCAGCCTTCGTCATCGTGTCCGAAGGGCACTGGGTTCCCCAGGCTGGTGCCTTGTGTCTCTCAGACAAGCACCTTGGCTGATAAGACGGCGGCGGGCTATTGTGAAAATCACACAGTAGTTCCCAGGATCCTGGAAAAACAGCAGTTCAATCACAACGGTTTTTTTTTTCCTTGGTGTTTGACTTTGGCACTGAGTTCTTTTCAAATGAGAACTATGCCAAACATCTTGTTCGAACCCTTCCACTCGGCAGATATGCAAACAACCTCTCTGTAGCTGCCAGGGGAAGGGGGGGTGGGGAGGGGAGTACTGAGAGTTCCATGGAAAACCACAGGAGGCTCAGAACCCTTCCTCTGCAGGCAGGAGCCAGCTTGCAGCGACATCTGGGAGCAGGACATGGACTGAGCAACTCCGAGCGCTCAGCGAAGTATGGGCCTGGCAGCTGGAGCACCCTCGGGGGGCTCTGCCTGCAGGCTCCCCAGGCCAGGCCTTACTGTGTGATTTTCAGGGTTGGCCGTCATTGCTGTTTCCTCCCCCAGGGTAAGTGCACAGAAGTTAGGGCATCGGGAGCTGAATTCTCCTCCAAGGACCTGCTAAGCTCCTGGGGCAGAGACTGTGTTTGCATATAAATATACCAGTGTGCATTGGATCTTGTGTACGTGCTCACGGAGGGTCAGGATGGCCCTGGGATGGACACGGCCGTCTGTGTCTGGAGGAAGACCTAACACACAGGATTTCCTGGGGAAGAAGTTTCCCTCCTGAGCAAGCAGATCCTTTCCCCACAGCCTGAGAAACGGCAGGAGGCCGCCTGCCACACAGCCTCCCTGGGACAGTGAGCAGGGCTCAGCTCTGTGAGAGACGCACTCCCCAAGACCAGCCATCCCAGGTCCCGGCCAGCTTCCGAGGCTCCAGCCCTCTGTCTCCAAGGGCAGGAAAATCATCCTTCTTTATTCCCAAAGCAAACGGTTCCTAGGAAAGAGCAGAATCTTTGGAGAAAATCACATCATCCCAGAGGGGAGAGCCAGCGCCTTTGTACTATTTTTCAGGGCTGCCTTCGGAGCCAATAATCTGTCATTCCTTGAATAAACAAGCACCTTATCATATCACAAACATTTATTTAACCCTTTTCTCCCGCAGGGTTAAATAAGGGAGAGAGAAAGCGGTTAGCAGAACAGCCGGAGCCCTGTGGCAGAAATGCCAAATTCTCTGAACATTACACCCAATCTGTAAAGTGTCAGTCGGCCCTTCTCTCTGCCTCCACGAGATGCCAGAGCGTTCACCCCAGACTCCGGCCCCACGTCCCCGCCTCCCACTGCTATTCCCACCCCACCCCCGCCCCTCTCCATTAATACCCCTCATCCTTTTGCAGACAGGCCCTTAATTCCATCCAAATGGAGTCTGGACTAATTTGTTAGGTTCTTTAGGGGGCTGATGAGGGAAATGGAAAAGGGAGAGACACGCAAGGGAGTATTTACATTTCTCCTCTTCATGACAGTCCACTTGACAGACAGAGTTGGGGAGCCCCGGCATTTTTTAATGTGTGTGTGTGATTTTTTTAAAAGGCATATTCTTTGGCTCTGACATCACCAGAAAATGGAATGAACAAAGTATGTAAATTTCTCCAAGCTCCCACAATATCCATTTTCTCTCAGTGGATGGGATTTTGTTTTTCTTTTCTGGTGTTGCTCCCACACAATGGGGCCAAATCTTGTTCAGGACAAAGAAACATATAAATAGAACATGCATGTGGTATGCAAGGGAACTTTGGAGAGCAGAGGGAGACTGTTTGGAAAAGCGTCTGGGGGCTGCCAGGGGGAACTACGGGGTCCTGGCCCGAAGTATTCCACAAGCAGAAGTCTGCCTGTCCCTAACGTCGCAAGGCAGAAATTCCCAAACCGCTCTCATTCTCGGGCAAACACTAAGAAACATTGGAATGGGGACAAACGTAAGAGGAGAATGTGAAGTATCTGTGCGTGAATATGAGCAAGAGTATGTGTACATAAGATGACCATGAGCCCAATTCATAGGCTGGACATGCTTCCCAGAGCCTTCTTTACCAGGAAGGATGCTAAATCATGCGTGGTGTCTCACGCTCTGCATCATCTCGGTGGGCTACCACAGACCAGCTGAAACTTCCATCAAACATGCTTTCCTGTATTAAGCATTTGCAATTGTTTTAGTGTCAATCACCCGTCAACCAACCCCTCCAGTCTCATAACTGCACACTTACGGCTCCAGCCAAAAAGACTTTTATCAGCGCAAGTTTGAACAAACTAATGTGTATAGGTCCTGAGCGGTTATTTTTGTTTCCAAGTCTGGACATAGAATCACTTGTTCAATTTCCTGCTGGGTTATATCAGGCAGTTTTAACATGTAAATCTCTGATAAGGAAACTGACTAATTTATGTGGGTTGCCATCTGCGTAGCTGTCAGAGTTGCCTTCATGTCTTTTCTGCTTCCTTTCTTCTCTATTCTTTCTCAGTCATTATTGTCACCGCCATTCCTAGTCCTATCAGCTGTACCCTTATTTGTTACATGTTTAGAATATGTTCTTAGGCTAAAGAATGTTGTAAAAGCAAACAACCAACCAAAAGACCCTGTGTCCTTGAAGTTCATGTGGGAGTTCTGCTGACCTGGAGGTCTATGCTTTACAACTTGGATTAGAAATAAATACGCCCCTCGGACTCCTTCAAGCAATGTCTTTGATGATCAGAAGATTAATTTTTAAAAATTAAGATGAAAAACCAGTCATAATCTAAACTACTTCTGCTTCATGGATATCCTTCACCAGCGTCAGCCGACTCCAGTTGACAGAGCTTTAGGACCTCTAAGTTAAAATCCTATAAGCTGCTTGAACACCCCTTCCCAAAACCTGCCTTGGGCTATAAACCCACAGGTAAATCGATCCCTGTGGGTTTTCCCACTCAATAGCTTGATCAGAGAAGCAGGTATTTTCAAATAATTGCTCATTCTGTGCCCAAATATACAGACTGAGGTGGATCGATTTGACATAAACCTGTAATCAAGTATCTGGTGCTGTTCTCATATTGAGGGGTAAACCTGGCCTCAGCCAAGTCCACAACTACCCCCAGACTTGGGAGCTTGGGCACATTCTTTAAGGACTCAAAGTCAGAGGCTGCCATCCCATTGGCTGGGAACAGAAATAGAATCCATCTATTCTGGGACTGGGACAGCAAGCCAGGTAGGGCTCTGCTCCCTCTTCCAAGGCTTTGAGGATGGGGATGGGGAGAGTGGCAGGGATCGGAGGGGTGGGGGTGTGGGGCCAGGAGGCCCCCAAAGTGGCTACCCTTCTCGCCTCTCATCCACTCTATCCTCCAACCCCAGGCCCCTCCCTGCTGTGCCTACAACTGCCCCTGATCTCTCAGAGCCCTTTGCTTTAGGTATTTTTTTAAGGCAATAAGACGATGCGGGACTTAATGCAAATGGGCTTTTAAAGTAACCATTTTTGTATCCAGTAGTGATTCCTGAAAAGCCCTCTCCTTCCCTCGTCTCCCCTTCCCCCACAGTGAACTTTAAATCCTTCCATCCATGTGGACAGAAGGCAAAGTATCTGGATTTTCTTTCCTAGCCACCCCCTCTTGCCAGTGTGGCTGTACTTCTCTTTGTTTGGATACTCTTCTTTATGGCTCCTTGCCAACGAACAGATGTAACTATTGTCTGATTATTAAAAGAAAAAAACCAAAAAATACACAAAAGGGCACACGCCGTCAGTGGGTAACGACTGTAGTAGAACTGTCCACATATAGTCAAATCCATGGTTTGGTGCAAACAACGAGCCACCAGCTTCTGCCATTCCAGGAACTTCTGCTTTCTCCAAGGTTTGATTAAAAACAAATTTAGGCAAACATAGCATGCTCAAGAAAGGTGCACCTTTGTGGTCTTGGGGCTTTGCTGGGCAACCCTCAATGCCACCTCCTCGCCATCTAGGTTCACACTATCTTTGGGCACCCTTAGGACGCTCTTAAGCAATCTTTCCTCGCCTATGGCCTGTGCCCTCATATCTGGTCTCCCTAGCCCTCCACAAAGCAGTGTAGCCACATGGAACCCTCTTCATGGCTTGTTGGAGTGGGGGGCACGCTGGGCGAGGAGTCCAGCCTGGCTTCACACCCACTGCTGCTTACTGGTTGCATCACCCTGGGCAAGTTTCTGCTCCCTGCCCAGTTTCCTTGTCGGCAGACTAACAAGGCTGAGCGAGATGCATTCCTTCCATTTTTCCTTAAGCAAATATTGATTTAGCTCCTACTCTGTGCTAGACACCGAGAATGGAACTGAAAACAGGACAAACAGAGTCCCGGCCCCCATGGAGCATATGGAACATCGGGAGGAGGAGAAAAGAAAGAAAGTAAAAGAAAACAAAGTGTGAACATCCCTGGAGCCCCCCCACCCCAACCTTTGAATGCAGTGTTAATAATAGCCTGCTGTTGTCCTTCAGATGTATCGGGGATCAGAGTCACAAGTAGAGATGCGGGGGTTCGAGCGTAGAGTGGCAGGCATCAACTTCAGGGAGGCCTCTGTGACCCCGAAATCCCCACCTCGATGGACACCTGCAACACCTCTCCTGAAGGCTGGACCTTGCCAGAGCCCTGTCTAGGCTTGTCTCTCTCTGTGAAGGCCGGGTATCTACAGGCTACCATTGCGCTCTCCACTTGAACCAGGGAGTTTTCAGAAACAACAGGCAAATATGACACAACACCAGCCTCGAGCTCCACCCTTCAGTGGAACTGTTATTTTTAGTTGTCTCCTTTCTCTTTCCACAGCCATCTGCATACCTCCCTTGGTGAGTCATTTCTGTCGATGGCCGCCAGTACATGTGACTCCTTGAACGTGAGTCTGGCTTAGTTTAACAAACCAGTGCGTTCCACCCCATCTCTACCTGCAGCACTCACTAGATGTCGGCTGGGAGGGGCAGGGAGGGAGTGCCGCGGGACTCCCAGCACCCCCAGACCCATGCCAAACGAATGACGACCACCCGCAGACACGCTGCAGGATGAAGCTGCTCAGGAGCGCGGGAATTACCGAGTCAGAGAGTGGAGCATATTGCTTTGGCTCCATGTTCACATTCGTGTGATTGACACTTGACCCCAGAGTCTCAGGCACAGGGAAATGCTCTTACTCAGTCTGGAGCCCCTTCACCCCGGCACCAGGCATCGAGGTCACATCCTGAAAAATCACACCTTGCAAGGCTGTTCATCATCTGTACAAGATGCTGAGCTCTCAAAATAATGCATAATGAAATCGGAGTATTTCTAGAAGGTGTTGAATATAAATCATCTATCAGAACTTGTGGTCCTCTTTTCTTCTTCTTCTTCTTTTTGGTCATAGAGAAAAATACTCCTGAGTCTATTCACAGTGCACCTGCCACCTCTCTCCCCGTGACTCCCCATGCCTCAGACCCATGGTGTGTTTGCCATGCTGGTTTGCCGGGTTTATTTCAAGGGTTTATTTCAAGTCTTCCGCGATCTCAGGCTTTCTTAGCACAGGACGTCGTCCTCTTGTGAGATCCTCTCTGCCTGGATGGCTCTCCTCCCCCCACTCTTGGCCTGGCCCTTTTTGTTTCTTTCTTTAAAGGCCTTCTCTCCAGGGACTCTGTCTCAATCCCCTCAGGCACAGGTGGATTTCCCTGTTCCTTGCCCTCACAGCTCCCTGTGTTTTTCCAGGGTCACACTTATTGGAACTATATTTAAATGATTATTTGTTAAATTAATTTGCTGAATATCTGTCCTCCCTGCCAGATTTTCATGCAGGCAAGCCTCATTCATTCATCGACGGCTCCTCTGATGCCCAGCACAGTGCCTTGCAAATAGGAGTAGTTTTCTCGATAAATGTGTTGATTTGGTAAGTCTCCTTGCTCTCAAAATTCATAGTCTAACAAGTGGGAGCGCTGAAAAACAGTAAGGTACATTCATGGTCCTCTAAATATGGACATCACACTGTGGATGCACAAAGAAAGCAACAAATGATTCTGCAAGAATCATGTGAGGGCAGACTCAACAGAAGCTGTACCATTTGAGCTGGGCCTTGAGGTAGGAAAAGAGAGGAGAAGGAATTCTGAGCAGATTTGGTACAAAAAAGGCAGGGAAGGCTGAAAGTATTGAATAAGTTCTGGGGAAAGCACAGAGTCAAATGTGCTAGAATAGACCATGTCTGTAGGGGAATGCCAGAAATGGTAGACATCTTGTAGTTTCTGCTACAGACTTATATTTTAAGTAAACAGGAATACAACTAGGAATACATGAAAACTAAAAAATCAGCTTGTCCTTTAGAACATTCTCTCTTGTGACACAGTGGAAGACAGATTGGAGTGGGGAGTGGATGAAAACCATTGAGGGGGCTTGCAGGGGTCGAGGTCAGAGGGGAGAGATGGTGCGAGTACAGCCGGCAGGCTTGGTATGATTCCATGTGGAGAGTGAGGGAGAGGTGTTCACCAAATATGACTGAGGGTCCCAGCATGGGTCCTGGGTAACTGACAAGGACCTTGCCACTTGCAAGTGTAACAAGAACATGGGAGGAGGTGGGGGGTGGGGACTGGGGAGCAATGTGAGGGAGGAGAGCTCACTTGGCTTTTGACAAACTGGACTTAGCATGTCTCTTTCTCAGCTGGAGGAAACATCAAGAGTAGTGTTTCTTAACCTTCTTCAAATTATTGCTCCTTAAGGAGCCTTTTAAAATATATTTTTTTCTTAATCTCCCTGCCCCCATGAAATTTTAATACCTCAGCTATACTATATATTTGTTTATATACTTTATATAGATCTATGCCCTAGACATAAAAAGAGTAGGATGTTTTGCACCCCCCCTCAAAACCCGTTTTGCCCCCTTGAGAATGCATAGGAGGAGAGGGAGGGAGGTGGGCTGACAGTACTCTGCTTACGGGAGTAAGGAAGGTTTCACGCAGAGGAGCATTTGCAGTGGGCTTTAGGGATTGAGTTAAAAACAGTTTTTTATTTTTTGTTTTTGCTGAAATATATTAATATATAACATTGTGTAAGTTTAAGATGTACAATATGAGGATTTGATGCACTTACATATAGCAGTATGATTACCAACATAGTGTGAGCTAACACTTCCATGTGTGTGGTGAGAACATTCACGATCTACTCTCTCAGCAACTTCCAGATATACAATATAGTATTATTAACCATAATCACCATAAGATCCCCAGAACTCATTCCTCTTACAACTGGGACTTTATGCTCTTTGACCAACATCTCCCATTTCCCCCACTCCCCTTGCCCCTGGTTTCCACAAATTGGGCTTTTGTAGATTCCATATATATGTGAGCTCATACAGTACTTGTCTTTTCCTGTCTAGCTTGATCTCACTTAGCATAAAGAAGACATGGTGTATACACATACAATGGAACATTATTCAGCCATGAAAAAGAAGGAAATCTTGCCATTGGAGACAACATGGATGCACCTTGAGGGCATTATGTTAAAAACCGTTGTTGTTGTTGTTGCTTAATTGAGATAAAATTCTCGGGGAGAGGTTGGTTTGGATGGAAAGACATAGGGCATTAGAATTGACAAGGGAGCCCCCAGAAGTGGGTGGAGGTACCAAGAGAGAGAATTCACAGGAGGAAGAAAGAGATGTCTTTCTGAACTAGAAGGGGTCCTCCATGGGGTTCTCCCATGTGTAAGGGGTCTGAAAGGTAGGATAAGTGGACCACGCAATGTGGTGGAGAGAGACAGAAAAACAGACAGCCAGCAGGAGGCTAGTAAGTTCCCCATAGGTAAGAGAAGGATTTACGTTGTTACCAAGCTTTTGTTTTTTACGATGTTGTAATAATGGATGTTCCCGAACACTCCATTTCCTATATTTGTGTATGTATCTGCAAGGAATTCCCAGAGGGAAAGGGGCTGGGTCAAAGGGCATGTGATTTAAAATCTTGGTGTGTAGAACCAAACGCTCTCCGAGAAGGTAGTACCAGGTTACGTTCTCACCCCTTCCTTACGTGCTTGCCAACACAACATGCCATCAAATGTTTTCATTGCTGCCAATCTGATAGTACAAGAGTAGTATTACTTTTTAGATTAAATTTGCATTTTTCTGTTTATGAATGAAATTGAGCATCTTTTCATAGGGTTAGAAGCCAGTTTTAGCTTTTTTTTTGGTGAAATGTTTTAGAGCTTTTGTCCATTTTATATTTCATTATTATTTGCACAGTGATTTGTGTAGGTTTTCTCACACATTAAGGAAAATTTGCCTTTCATCAGTGATGTGAACAGCACATGTTTT